TGTGCTTCCTTTAAAGCCCTCAGAAAGAACCAACCTTACCCACACGCAGCAGATCTTGAACTTCTAGGTTCCACGGTTGGAAGACAGTCCATTTCTGTCAGTAAACCACCCAGTCGGTGGCACTTTGTGAAGGCGAGACTAGCAGGCCAGAGCGGTGGTTATTGCAGTAATAGTGAAAAGTCGGAAACGATGGAATGTCTATCGATGAGGCAGTGGTTCTCGGGGGAGACGGTCTCTTCTCTGCCTCTCCTTCTCCTGGTTGCCTCGGCCTTTCTGAAGCTATTGGGAAAGTAGGGTTTGACCAGCACACACCTTTTTGTCATTCCAAGATTCCTGAGTCCAGGCGAAAAATTATCAGGGGTTACATATAAGGAAAAAAAATGTATCTGAACTTAGAACAAAGTAAACCACTTAATTCTGTGTGTTCAAGAACAGAACAATAACAAATAATGTTTAAAGTATAGTTTGGTTCCAGGATGCCTGGGTGGCTCAGTTGGTTGAGCAGCCAACTCTTGATTTCAGTTCAGGTCATGATCTCAGGGTCTTAAAAAAAAAAAAAAAGAATTTGGGGCCAAGTGACAGGACAGCCTGAATTAAATGTAAGTTATTTTGAAAAGGCCTATCTTGAGGATAAATGTTAACTCAAGCTTTGGAGGAACTAAGGTGACCTTGGGCAGTGGAAGGAATCACTTGTGAAATTCCTTAAATAAAAATGTATTAAAAAAAAGGATGAGGTTGTGCCACTTGAGACAACATGGACAGGCTGAAGAGACAAACACCATATGATTCCATTCATAAGTAGAATCTAGGAAAAAAAGAACAAACAAAAAACAGAATCAGACCTATAAATACAGAGAAATGGGAGGGGCGGGGGGGGGTAGGGAGATCGCGAAATGGGCAAGGGGGAGTGGGAGATCCAGGCTTCCAGCCATAGAATGAACAAGTCATGGGAATAAAAGGCACAGCATAAGGAATGCGGTCAATGACACTGTAATAGTGAGGTCGTGAGAGAGATGGCAGCTACACTTGGGAACGCAGCATAATGTATAAACTTGTCAAATCACTGAGTTGTATACCTGAACCTACTATAGCATTGTGTCAGCTATACTCAAAACTTATTGGCTTTACATAATTTTCCTAATGTTATGCATTAAAAAAAATGGGGGGGAATCAATCTTGGCTGCTTTTAATTTAATGATAGGCCTTTAAAACTGGTGTGTAACTGGGACCCCTCAGGCTCTAGGTGACAACATAGGAACAGAGTCTAACATCCACACAAGCAGCTGGAACAGCCCCGGCTCGCGGGGGTCACAGAGCAAGCCCCAGCCCTGCACCCATGTGCCTTACCTAGTGCCAGGCTCGAGGAGGTCCTCAATGTTGCTTAAACAGGTGAGTAAATTCATTGAAGTCACGATCCTAGGTTTCTCTTGGCTCCGCATCTAGCCAGGCCTGCCATTTTGTTCCCTGTTAGTTAGGTCAAGAGTCACTTCACCTGGGAGATTGTATGTAAAGAAGATCAAGGGGCCACCCCTGCCTTCTAGAACACGCCATCCTGTTTGGGATGATGGTGTGCTTGTGCACATACACCACACATGTGGAAAACGCAGTGTAAGGATGTGAGAGAGCCCTTCAACCAGAGGTTTAAAGTAACCAAGCACCTTGAGCAGGCTTGAACGTTCCCTTAGGCAGAGATGTTCAACGAGTAGCAGACCAGCAGTTCTCAAACCTTTTGGCCTCAGAACCCCTTTACACTCCAATATTATTGAAGACCTCAGAGTTCTGCTTTTGTCCGTACAGCTATTGGTATTTACTATATTAGAAATTCAAACAGAAAAATTTAAAAACACCAAAACCACATACACATTCTACTAACCACCAGAGTGAGGACATCATCACATGTCATGTAGCTTCTGGAAGATTCCACCACACACTAATGACAGACAAGAATGAAATAAAGCAACTAACATCCTAGTCTTATCATGAAAATAGTTTTGACCTCATGGCCTTCTTCAAGGAGTCTCAAGGACCCCCAGGCCACATTTTGAGAACCACCAGAGGGGCTAAGTGCTAATGAACAGGGGGTGCAGCGGGCTCTCTGAAAACATCATGTGAAAGGGCCATCTCTTCCCCAATGTTTCAGGACGCCAGACTAATGCCCACGGAGAGGACAAAGGGTGAGGCCTTTCTTATAACCTGTTCTGCCAACAGTCGTGCAAACCATGCACATGTATTGTCCCAGCCCATCTGATCAAACGTGACTCACCACCATTACCAAGTTCAGCCCTATGAAGGTGGAAAGGGGATGAGAAGCAGTTTCTTTTTTAAAGAACATTCCTTGCAACGTGCACACACCATGTCCACTCACAGTCTAGTGGCTGGAACTTAGTCACGTGGCCTCAACTGCCAGGGAAGCTGGGAGTCTCTTGCTGGGGACAGCAAGTCTCAGTGCAGAGAGCAGCTCATCCAGGGCACCAGGGAGAGCTTCCTCCTTCCAGGCAGAGCAGTCCACGAGAACAAGTGCGAGACAACACGGCTGTGTGCCCCCATAACTGACGACCTCCACTGGCGTGCCACGGAGCAGGGCTTGTACAGAATCCCAATCTTTTCCCATCCGGACTCCCTGCAAACTCCGCAGCCCTCCCCTGCGTGCCGCTGGGCAGACGAGGCCGGCCCTGCCTCTACTGGCTGCTTTTACAGTGCTTTCAGCAGCAGGTGGGGGCAGAGTCCGGTTTCAGGAGCACTGTGTGCACGGGATGCATCTTCCGGGGAGAACCTACTGCTGTCCCTGGTTCCCTTCAATTTTATGGTCAAAGAGTGGGAGCCATTCTGCTATGTCACTTGCTCCCTTTGCTGCCTCCCTTTGGGTTTCTCCCAAGGCCTCGCTGGCCTTCACAGCTGCTCCTGAATTAGCTTATTTTACTCTTACCAGCTACTGGACGCCTTTCCCTCCTACAGCACTGTAGCTGCCCCTCTGACAGGCATGGCCTCGTCTAAAACCACTCGCAAGAAGGCTCAGTACAGTTCACTCCCTTGCCCCAGGTCATGTAGCTCGTAAGGAGAGGAACCATCATTTGACCCCTGATCTGACCCCCAAGGCCGGTGCTTTTCATCTCTGTCTTCAATCCAGCTAATATCAAGGAGTTTGATAGTCTAATTGTCAGCCTTCCAACTTCCAATTATACTTTTCTCAAAGAACAAGAACCAAAAAAATAGTAATAATCAAGAACCAAAATAAAAAGAAGAAGAAAAACTCACAAATAAGACTCCACAGCTTTAAATTTGCAAACTCCTTTGACGGGAAGGGTGGTGTCTACATATCTTTGAATGCCCAGAGTCCATCTCTTTCCAAGACCATCAACTTCCTTAAAATAACAGCCACGAACATTGGAGCACATCCAGATGCGGCGCTAAGGGCTTGCCATACCTTTCTCAGTACTCCAACACTATGAGGGAGATGCTCGGACCCCCATTCTACACACACAGACATGGGCACAGAGATCCCACAGCTGCTAACGAGACTCCAACCCGTGCAATCCAGCTTCAGGATCTGTGCTCTTCAAATACTGTGCTTACATCGTCTCATTTTCTAATTTCAGTGTTTTTACAATATTATGATTTCTACTTTTATAGCTTATTTCACATTTATAACACTAATTTAGTTTTGGGTGCCTGCTGAGGCACATAAGGAAGTATCTGAAAGGTCTTTTTTTTTATGATATTCTGGAAGTATGAATTTCCTGAATCAGGCTATTTAATATTTAACTAAGCAAAATATATAATAAGGAAGCTATAAAACGTCTTCAGAATATTCCTACAAAACCCGTCGCTTCTTGATGAGAAGCTGGAGCTCAAGCATCCCTGGGCAATTAACTTGGCTTTTCAGAGCCAGGAAAGCTCCCTGCATGGTCTCACTTCATTGCTATTCACATGTGTGACCCAAGTCAGTCTAAGGCTGCCATGGGAACAAGTCTCGTTCAACCAGGGACACTTAGAAGCTTTACACCGGGACTTCAACATACACAGCTTCCAGGTTCCCTGTGCTTGAGCGCTTGGCACCTACAGACTTCTGTAGGCGGCCCTGACCTGCCTAGGGAGAGAGATGGGGAGCAAGCCCTAGCCGGAGCCAGCCAGGCTCTCCTCCCAGGCCAGGCACAAGCCACAGCTGCGTCCCAGAACCAGCACCCGCAGACCTCGCTGCCCCACACAAGGCAGCTTTACCACACTCTCGACTGGGGGAAGAAAGGAATTTACTGCAAAACTTCTCAGAGCCTGTATGAATCTCAAAGTGAGTTGCAGTGTTTCCCAAATGTATTTGACTAGCTCCTTTCTTGTCAAAAGCAATTAACATGTGTTGAACTAATAGTTTGGGAAGTTGTTGCTATAAGGCACTCATTTATTTTATGGTGTTTTTTTTTTTTTTAAGTTAGTGGTTGGAGACCGAGAATGCATTCCCCCGTAGAAAATAATGTTAACTGTGATCAACTGCCCACCAAAAAATAATAACAAATAGTAACCTACGAGGTGGCTGAAATAGGAAAATGCATTCCAACCTTCAACTCTAACAAGGTGTCGCAGGCCCATTTTCGTTTTCCAGCGGTGGTCCTTTAGGACTGACATTCCTGGTCCCACCATGCCTTTGAGACACAGACACATTATGAGGGTTGCTTCTGGTGGCCCTCACCCCAGTGGGCCAGGCGTTCCTGTGTAGGAATGAGAAGATAGTTGAGTAGGTTCTAGAAAGAGAACTGTCATGGTTATCCTCCCATTTTCAATTTTCATGAGTCAATCTTTGTATATTTCAGAAGTTTAGGAATGGGTTAGCAATCACTGAAGCCAAGTTCTAGTTTGTTCCATTTGAGAAAATGGTAGGAAGGTCTTTCCCAAAGCCACAAAGACAATAATTTACATGCTACCCATAACAGCTCAAAAAGAAATTAGTCAAACCAAGCTTCTACTGACCTTGTTCAGTATAGATTGAATAAATAAAAAACACACAGGACACTTTAAGAAAAATTAACAGCTTTATTTTTCCTCAATATACATTTTAGAAAATAGGTCTAAGGAAAGGTTTCATGAAATAGACCAGAGGACTATATACAAAGTGAAGAGCTCCAAATCAGCGAGACCAAGTGCACGGACGGAGCACTCTTCCCCAAGGGCCACAGCAGCCTAGGACCGTCCCATCAGAGGGGAGGCAAGCTCTTGGACAGCTTTTGAGTTCAGCTGAGGAATTGTGCTGATCTTCAGGAGTTTGCTGCTTGCATATTTATTCTTGATGGCCTGCAGAAGTCATCTGTGATTAAGCACACATCAGGACCCCCACCTTCTACTTCACTCCTGGTCTAACTCATAAGTATTTAGGGGCCAGACCCACAATCTCTCCAATTGGTGTGATGATGGCGATTCACTGAAGCCAGCGAGCGCTCTGAGGTCATAATGTGCGACACCTGACAATTTCCTTCCATGCCCAGCACCGGATAAAACCCAGCTGGTAGCACCGGTGAGGGCGGAAGAAATGATGTCAAGGTCCAAGGAGTAGGCTCTCTCTCCTACGTTGCCAGAGGGGTGGGAGGTGGGAGCTGTGTTTATCAGACCTAAGTGCCACCAGGCCATAACAGGTCTGCCAGGACAGGCAGCAACAATGACAACAAAAGCCAAATGGCAACCAGTGCTTAGCAGATCCCAGACAATACCCTCACACTTCCGCAGTGCGCTCAATTATGCGGAAGCTACATGCAAGGAAGCAAAGCAGGTTGTCAGGACACTTGGCACAAATGCCTTGCTCTTTGTCACCAGATCCTTGGTGATATTCGGTGTCACACAAGCACGGGACAGCGCCCAATCCGCTCTGCCTCCACCTCTCAGGTGGGCCACACGGAGACAGGCACCAGGCCCCCAGGAAGCTTTCTGAATGGGCTTCTTGCCCCTCCTTCTTCACCTGCATTCAGGGGCCTTTTGGCCATTGTCCCAGAAGATCCTGGACAGAGGCCCCAAGTCCCCAAGCCTTCCACAGGGCCATTTAAGGGGTTCCAGACGACACGGTGAGCACCTGCCCTGACTGCTGCGTGCCCTCCCCAGGATGCCAGGACGAGTGTGGGTGGAGGCATGGAATGGCTGGCTGACTACACTGGGCCTGGACACGGTTAGCCTAGCTACCTTGTTTTAAAGAGAGTCTGCTTGTGGGGTATATCCGTATGCTCCATCCCCTGCTGTACTAGAAAAGAGTTTGTGCTACAACAGACTCTCACAAATGTCAGTATTACATTTCCATGAAAACGCAAACGCACATACATATGCATACCCTCACTCACAAAACCCGTATTCTAATGCTTTTCACAGTTTAGGAAGGAGTACTTACGATGAATTTTGTTAAGTTTTCGTTAACTTTCACTACATTTTTGGCCATGTGCTGCATGACTTCCAATACTTCATTTTCTGTGTATCCAGTATAATACTGCTGCTTTAAGTTCTGGAACGCAATGCAAAGAGAAGGGGCAAGATAAAGCCTCCACTTCTTTAGAAGAGCATTATCTGATACACGTTGACATCACTTACCACTTATGTAAAAGCTATAAAACGATATTCTTACCTTCTGAAAATACAACAGCAGCCCTAAACACTATCGTGGTCCCAGCAAAACAGCCAGTAAATGCAAGATGACTTTGGCTCTGAGCAAGACTAAATTAAGACGCTGTGCAGCTTCAGCTAAATCAAGTGTCAAAGGTCCCATATTATTAATTTTTAAAGAAGGTTGCACAGGTATAGAAGGTGCTCCAAGTAACAAAGCTTTCACGCTAGCCTCTCTCACCGCACTGAAAGGGGATGGCAAGTGGGACAGAGTAAAAACAAAACCCAACAAAGGAATGACCCCTTCACAGGACTGGCAGAGACCCAGGACTAGCACATCTCACATGTACCCCCCCCACCCCAATCAAAGCCCTACTGGGCAGCGGCTGGTGGGGAGCTCGAGAGCCCAGACACCCATATTGTCAGTCAGGGAAAGAGGTTCAGAATTAAGAAATAAACTGGGCCGCAGGCGGCAAGCTAATCTATGAAATCCAGGCTTCTCTTATTGGGCCCTGTGTAGTTAAGCACTGGAGAACAGAGAATAGAGAAGCCTCTACCCCCAGCCTTCTGACCTAGCCTCCCAGAGAACAAAAATCGAGCAACAGGACAGTTGTTGATTGATAATAAGACCTATCATGTGTGAAGATATGTAACCTGACTTTATTTCAGTTTTGTAATAAAATTCTAAAGGTTAAAATACATCTGTCTCATATGCACAATATGATTGGGAAAATAAATCACAATTTAATCTTAGTCCTAAAATAGTTTAAAGAAAAAAAGGATGAAGCAAGAGCAATCCTGAAATAACACACAACTACTGGCCTTTTGAAATCAATTCCCAGAAAACAGGGAGACCTGCAGTTAATAGGTTTAGAGCCCAAGGAAGGCAGGTCTAAGAGTAAAGTAATTTAGTTAAAATGAGCCCCTGGTATCAGGACCATGTATCGTTCATGTATAAGCAGCCTTGTTGCCTCAAGCTTTTAATTTCAAAAAATTTCCAATCTACAGAAAAACTGAAATATTATAATGAACATCTGTATATCCTTTGTGTAGATTCATCTATTATTAACATTTTTTCCACTTTCCCTCTCATGATGTCTGCAACTAACTCAATTTCAAATGGTTCAGCAAAAATTCTGTATGTATGTATTCATGCACAATTTTTGAACCATTTGAAAATGAGTTGCAGACGCCATGACACATCACTTCTAAATGTTTCAAAAACATCCCCAGGAAGTATTTTCCCATCTAGCCACAAACCATTATCACAGAAAAAACATCAACATTTCCACACTATCATCTAGTACATAGTCTATATTCAAATTTCTCCCATTGTTCCAAAAATATCTTGTACAGATTTTTCTTTTAGATCCAGGTGCAATCAAGGTACCTGCCGTGTATCTGGTCTTTAATTTTTTTTAATTTAAAAACGACTCCTATTTTCTTGGCTTTAAATGACAACTTGTTTGAAGGATCCAGGCCAGTTACTTTTAGAACATTTTAAATCTGCGTGTTTCCTGATGACTGGATTCGTGTCAAACATTTTGGGCAAGAATTTCATAGAGGCGATCCTGTATACGTCCTACTGCACCAGAAGACCCGTCAAGTCAGGTAGCACTACCATTGGTGATGCCAAGATTGATCACCAGGTTAAGGTGGTAACTGCCAGACCTCTCTAGCACAAAGGTACAGTTTTTCTTCAGAATTACTACAGATCTGTGGGGTCATATTTTGAGACCATGTGAATCTTGTTCTCCAAAACAATTTCACCTAATGATAAAGGCATCAGTTGATTCTCGCTTGAATCAGTTATTACATCAGGAGTTACAATCTGATTTCTAACTCTACCATTCTTTCTGCCTTAATTAGCTGGTATTTTACTGATAAAAAAAAAAAGAGCCCCCCTTCCATTCTTTCTTTTGTGTCATTATAAATGCATGGATTTTTAAAAACTGCATTACAATCTATTACTGTCATTATTCTTTTTAAAGCTCAGATTTAGTCAGAACCCTTTCAAGCCAGTTCCTATGTCCTTTTGACGTAGATCTTTGAGAATTTGCTCGGTATCTATTACAAATTGACCTAGGCTCACCTTATACTTCCTCTGCCACGGCCGTGATCTCAGCTGTTTCTCAAAGGAGACCTAGTTCTTAGTGGGTAATGGCATTTAGTATCCAAGATGTAGGCACTGGGTGTGTTCATTGCTACAGGATTATCATTGTTTCCAGGCCCTCTCATTCTTAATTTACTGACAATTTGAAAACAGATTTAATGTTATAGGTGTTTTCCTTTTGTTTGTTTCTTTGTTTTTCTTCAAGATTTTATTTATTTGACAAAGAGAGAGACAGCGAGAGCGGGAACACAAGCAGGGGGAGTGGGAGAGGGAGAAGCAGGCTTCCCACCGAGCAGGGAGCCCGATGCGGGCTCGATCCCAGGACCCTAGGATCATGACCTGAGCTGAAGGCAGACGCACAACGACTGAGCCACCCAGGCACCCCTCCTTTTGTTTTTAATTGTTAACATATATTATCTTTTTATAGTGAAAATTTTAGTTTTTGGTAACACGAATGTTGGTTTTATCCTATAATATTCATAAAAATAGTCTCGCAATTACAATAACAGAACACTACTAACAATACAGCTCCTAAGTAAACTTGAAGTCTGTTACCTCTTTCGGTCCTTTGTTTTGTCTAGCTGCATACCAGTAAGGATGCACAGTCCAAATACTGCCTTCAAAAGTTATTTGAATTAATTCTTCCCTCTGTGTTGTTACCAACTTGATATATAGTGACACTGTTGTTTCTGCTTAATTCCATTTAGGGACTCTCATATTGTTCAATATATGAACACTCATATTGTTCAGAAGTCAAAAAAGTTACGTTATACTGTACACAGTTGATAAAAAGTTACAACCAGAAGTCCTGTTCCCATCCTCAGCCTTCTACCCTGCTCCCACCCAACCCCACAGGTATCATTTTCATTAGTTTCTGGTTTACGTGTAGTTTTTGAAAAATTAGAAAATACATAAGCACACATATACCACTCTCTTATTCCCCTTCTTTCTCATAGAAGATGTCAAATGTATACACTCGTGTAGAGGAAGAGTTCTGCCATGGTGCCCTGGCAATCTCACACGTATCTACATAGGGCCACCCAGGCAAAGGCCTGAACCACAGCTTATCTGTCTTGGCAAAATGCTTTGTGATCCTCCTGGAACACGAGAGGATAGGGGTGTGGGAGGAGTGCTCGCATTCCCTTCTGAATCTCCCCTGAGAGGCTATCATGAGACTTGTTTCTTAACACCTGGTTTCTGATGAGGCTTTTGTTCTGCTGCTCTTGGGGTACATCTACAGACTATAAAGCTATTTAGTGGCAGTCTAGAATTAGCTCGTCCACAAAAGGGTATCCCACGACTCACACTGCAGTCATCTGGTCCCTTTTGTTTCGGCTGTCCTTTTTTGGTGTGTGTGATTGCCGGCAACTCTGGCTACTTGTATGAATCTAAAAGTGGCTCCTTTTACCTTTACTGGCAAAATCAGTCAGGCCTTGGCCTTGCTTTGTCTTAGCTGCTTGATGGCTTGCTTGTTTCACTTAAGCAAAGATCCCAGAAACCTGAGCACATCAGTTGCCGGCGGCCTGGCTCAGGCCTCACAGCTCTAGAGCACACTTGGTGCCATGCTGTGTGTGGTTGCCTCACCTCTGTCTGAAGCGTCCCAAGCAGCCTTCTTTTAGGCCTCTGGATTTTAACCATTGCCTCGAGGATAGTGTGGGGAAAATGCTAAGGCCTTTCATTTCAAGGGGGCCGAAAACAGAACCTAATTTCTTCTTAACCCAACACTTACCCATTTTCCTTGGCGCAGAACCTTCTGGGACAGGCAGGATGCAGCCGCTGCCACCTTTGAAGGGTGATAATGCACCATGTCGTAGTCAATGAGAGTCAGCTCCATCAGATATTTGGCTAAAGTGTGCTGTTCCACATCGACCTATGAAAGAACAGCCGGGGACAGTAAGAAGCACAGCTACTATGACCCTCTTGCAAAATCCTGGGCAAAGGCCTAGGAGCTCAAAGCCACTCGACTCACTGGTCTGCCCAGCAACTACCCTATTCCACAGTATGGTACAAACACAGAGCATGAGGTCTTTTCTCTTAAGAACTGATGAGATATTGGGGCGCCTGGGTGGCTCAGTCGTTAAGCGTCTGCCTTCGGCTCGGGTCATGATCCCAGGGTCCTGGGATCGAGCCCTGCATCGGGCTCCCTGCTCCGCGGGAGGCCTGCTTCTCCCCCTCCCGCTCCCCCTGCTTGTGTTCTCTCTCTCGCTGTATCTCTCTCTGTCAAATAAACAAAATCTTAAAAAAAAAAAAAAAAGAACTGATAAGCATTAGGACCTATCGAAAAGATGTGTCCTATAAATGCCTACGTTTTCCTTTAATTGGATCAACGTTTCCAGGATAAGACAACAAACAGCAAAATCAAGTCTCATATAGAACCGGAGGCACTTACCTCCCCAGCTTTTGATGCCCGCCTTAAGAAATGTAGTGGCAAAGGTCGACCCAACTCAAATTTCAGTTCTTTCAAAATCAGTGTTTCCATCTCTCGGATTTGGGAACTGGTATAAGCATTGTCTGTGATGTAAACGAAGTCTTCAATATTTGGAGAAAACATCTCCTCATATTTGGAAGCCAAAAGCAGAGCTGTAATCCCAACCAGTTGAAGCTTCTTACGAGAAACAGGCTGAACCTAATTGAAGAAGAATGTGTCAGAAGTCCTACCTAGCGAGAGGACTGGGGCTCTGGGTGGAAGGAAGTGAGAGGGAACCACGTCCTGGAGAAGTATACGTCGTCTCTGCTCACACCCATCTTACAAGCACAGATAACATCTGTGTTAATAGCAGGTACCATCAAGGGTTCCTGGCTGGCTCAGTTGGTGGAGCGCGTGACTTTATCTCGGGGTTGTGGGTTCGAGCCCCACATGGGGTAGACAGATTACTTAAAAATAAAATAAAAAAAAAAAAATAGCGGGTACCATCACTACTCCCAGCAGCCATCTGTTATTTGAGTATTCAGTATATGCTGGGCACAGTGCTAAGATGCCAACAATCATCTCATTGAATCCTTGCAAAAATCCTAGGAAGCGAATGTATTTTCCCCTACTTGCAAAGAGATGGCCTGAGAAGAGATTCAGACACTAGCTCCAGATCACTCAATTGCTCAGTAGGGAAGAATTATGCCTGAGAACCAAGCTCCTAGTCTGCTCCAGCCCTGTCATCCTGGCTTGAGTACCTGGGGGCAGCCCCAACATGGCATTCAACATGTCTGCATCAAGATGAGGCCCAGCCAAACAGCAGGATTAAATAATGGATGCCTAGGGATGAGGAAGGGGAGGGTCTCTCAAACACTTCCTTAATCCTTACCAAAAGTACATTCATTATTCAGCATTAAGAATCTCCAAAGAGCCTCTAGAGTCAGGGAAAATCTCAGTTCAGGGTGTGTTTCCCTTAAATTCCCTTTTCTTTTAAAAGAGACTTTGCGGGGCACCTGGGTGGCTCAGTCGTTAAGCGTCTGCCTTCGGCTCAGGTCATGATCCCAGGGTCCTGGGATTGAGCCCCGCATCAGGCTCCCTGCTCAGTGGGAAGCCTGCTTCTCTCTCTCCCACTCCCTCTGCTTGTGTTCCCTCTCTCGCTGTGTCTCTCTGTCAAATAAATTTTTTAAAATCTTAAAAAAATAAAAAAATAAAATAAGAGACTTGGCTTTCCTTGCTTCAACTCTCATTATTGAAAATCTACCCAAAATATAACTGCTCTCCTACCCAGTGAGGAATGTATAATGCAAACCACTGAATCTATGCTTTCTTAGGATTCTGCAGTATCTCAGGGTCATTATTATAATAATCACCATTATTACTGTACTGTTGGGGCAGAATTTGTACCTGAGCTGTATCATAAATGTTGACTTGAAATAAATAAATCCCAATCTGCAGGGCTCCTGACTGGTGTATCACACACGAGTGCTTTCTGTCCGGCGTTTCTTCTAAGTGGTCAGCATTTTGTGTCACCAGGCAATAACTATTTCCATGACCACTCTGCCTCTCAGCTGAATCTCTTACATTCCTCGGCTTCAGACCTCCCATTCTCAGTACACTGCCCACACATACCCCCGACCCCTTTCTTAACAATTCTGCCTCCTCTCTCTTCTACACGGATTCACGCCACAGCTGGCTGGAAACTGCCAAGTTCTCTAGCCAGACTCCTCATTTTTCAGACAAGGAAACCTAACCAAGGATTACCAAACTACAAGCTGCCGGGAAATCGTGGAAGCAGGCCTGGAAAACCAGCACCCGCAGGCACCACAGGCTTCGGGCTGACTTTCAGACCTCCTGCTGGTATGTTTGCTCGGAGGAACGACTGGCCACGCAGTGCCAAGCCCCCGACCCCCCAGCACTTTTCGGCAGGCTGACCTAGCAGAAACACCCAGCAGCGGTCAGCATCACCAGAGGTTGGATACACCTAGCTACTTCTCCCTCTAGCCGCTCAAGTTCCTTGGTTTCTCACCAAGTGGCTTTTGATCTTTTCTTCAGGTATCACCCTTTGGTGTTGCAGAATGCCATTACAGTGAGCCCCCGAAGCCACGCTCACCTGTAAAAATCGGTCCATGATGGCGACGCACATGTACAGAGTCTCCTGAAGCAGCCTAAACTTGAAGTGGACTTGCACCAGCCAGTCCACCAGGATGGCGCGCATGCGTCCGTTTATCTCTCTTCCATCTAAGAAGTGTGGATTTATGGATTGCAGAACCTGTCGGTGGAATTCAAAGTTTTAAAGGCTGACCTCATTTCCTTCCCAGCTGTATGGTAAATGCCGCATTGCTTGCACAACCAAAACACAAAGGCCCACTCACCTCAAGCTGCCGTAGATACTGGTAGATGTCCTTAACATAGTCGCTGCAGAGCTGAGGGTTCTCCCAGTCCTCATGATCAATGTCCTCGATTTTGCAGAGCAAGGCATCAGAGAAAGCTTGGCAGAGATTCTCTTCCTTCATGGAGATATCCTCCTGTGGGGTGGAAGGACCCTACATGAACGAATTAAAGTGCATGCATCACTACCTTGGCAGTAGCCTTAATTGTTAATCAGAGCCAAATACGAGCAGAGTCAACTGGTTTAAAAGTATCATATGCATTTTGAAAATACGTGAAAGCCAAAACAAATTTCAGAGTAAGGTGAATAATTCAAGGTGTAGTAGATGAAGTTTTTAGAGATATACTCCTCTGTTTAAAATTCTCTAATTTCACTCCAAGGGAAAACCTGAGTCCTCACGATGGCCTTGGGGGCTTGCATGATCGGGCTTTGCCCTCTTCCTCTGCTGACCCATCTATTTCTCTCCCCTTGGTTTGCCTCATGGCAGCCTCCCTCACTGCAAGCAGGCTCCCTCTTCCCACAATGCTCTTGCTCTTATCCCTGCACCCCCATGGGCAATTCTCTCACCTTCAAGTTTTGTTTAAATGTTACCTTCTCAATTAGGTCTATCCTGACCCCTGTTTTAGATTACCATCTGTCCCCTATGCCCCCCTCTCCACATGCATCATTTCTCTTACTGTGTTTTTCCCCATAGAACCTGTAACGTTGTAACATACTGTGGAGTTTACTTATATATGATGTATATTATTTTCTGTCTACCTCTGCTAGACTGTCAGCTCTACAGAGCTTATGGAGGTAGCAGAGGTAGAAAATAATATATTTATAAATACATTCATAAATAAATAATACATTTATTTAAACTGATTTTATTCCCTACAGCATCTCAAATGTCTACATCATCCCTGACACATAGTAGGTGCTTAGTAAATATTTACTGAGTGAAAGAAACTTAAACACCTAGGTGCAGAAACTCTTAGAGCTGACAGTTCACTTCAGCTGTAGCCTCTTCTGTGGGTATACAGATTTCCCCTCATAAACTAATTTATTCTGAATTGAGAAACTGGCAACTAAAAAGCAGAAAAGCACATTCCGGCCTATGAATAAAATAGAAGGAAGCAAAGACCGAGCAAGTACACACCCAGTATTTTCTTACGCTGACTGGGTGAGTATTAAAAAAAAAAAAAAAAAAAAGGGGCGCCTGGGTGGCTCAGTCGTTAAGCGTCTGCCTTCGGCTCAGGTCATGGTCCCAGGGTCCTGGGATCGAGCCCCACATCGGGCTCTCTGCTCAACGGGAAGCCTGCTTCTCCCTCTCCCACTCCCCCTGCTTGTGTTCCCTCTCTTGCTGTGTCTCTCTCTGTCAAATAAATAAGTACAATCTTTAAAAAAAAAAAATCATACAAATTAAAAATTTATAAAGTAAGTTAAAACAAGTGTTTAGTAATGAAGTATAAATAACCCATTACTTTTTAAAAGAATAAGAGGTACTTCTCGAAGTAAAACCTAACAAGCCTGCTAGGCTATAAAGAGTATGTATTAAAGAAATAAAATATAGAAAGAGAGAAGGCTGTATAATAAACAATTTTAATGGACATTGAAGCTCAGTGATGATAGTTTCCAGGCTTAAGGAAGGATGAAACAACAGCAGCAAAATATATATAGCAATTCAAAACCCATCCTTCCCTCCTACATCAGTTCTCAAACTGAGGGAGGGCCAACTGAGCAAGAGTCATGCAGGTATACGTGCCATTTATTCAAGAACTTTCAAACCTCAAGGGACTAGAATGAATAAGAGCTACTTGGGGCACCAGGGAGAAACCTAGATAAGGTTACCAGAGAGGGTAAGACCTCAAGGAAAATGAGTGGGCAAAAGGTACGCAAGTACAAAGTCCCAGAGGAAGCCAAGAAACAAAGAAACGAAGTCTGGGAAGTGCACGTTGATTTGGGATGGCAGGAGCTAGTGCATGACGTGTGAGAAGATGGGCTGGAAAGGTGAGCGAGAACCCGGCTAAGGAGTTTACATTTTACCAAAAGGGAAGTGAATCCACTGAAGGAACTGATCAAGAGCGGCAAGAATCAGAGGCGCCTGGCTGGCTCAGTTGGTACAGCGA